TCTTCCTGACCCCACCGGCTAGAGAAGAGCAGGTCTGACGGTGACCCCCGTCTTTTAAAAGAGCCACACGTGGTTTATGCTGACGCCACCGCCCAAAAAAAGGGGGGGGGGGGGGGGGGGCTTTCTGGGGACACGAGACACCGATCCCGCTCGTCCAGGAGCCACGCTGCAGGGGTTGCCAGAAAAGCAGAGCGCACCCTGAGAGGAGGGGGCTCCAAAAAACAGCAAATGGGTGGTAACGTGGGAGGAGTCCCGCTCGGGTCACAGCTGTTTGATGCGGTGGATATGAACGGGGACAGCGGTTGTGTCTTGGTGGAGCTGCAGATACCAGCTCAGGGTCTTGGTGGACTGACGGTATGGACGGATGTACGGACGAGAGCCGGAGGAAAGAAGAGCTCCAGGATGCCATTCCCATATTAAGTTTTGCAGAGGAGCCGGACTCTTGCTAAAAATAAGGCCTGAGCGAAACAAACGCTGCGGACAAGATGGCGTCCGTGCACGCAGCGTGTCCTGTAAGCACCGATGATGAGTCTACGCAAAGCTCAAATTCAAAATGCATGAAGAAGTAATTTTAATTTACATGAATGTACAGGATCACAGAAAGTCACACTTAGTAATAATTATATAACAAGAGTGAGTTCTACTTTGATTTATTCCTCCAATATTGTTTAATATGATATAATATGAACATTTAATTGTGTGAAAGTGCAGTAAATTCTAAAATGTTCACTTTATAGCAGTGTCACGAGTAGTAGGGACATTTAAAGAGGAAAATAAAGTCATAATTTTATAGGAATAAAGTTTTAATTTTATGAAAAAGTCATGATTTCACCAGAATACGGTTGTGATATCCCAAAATAAAATAAAGTATATTACAATGAAAAAAGTCATAATATTAAACGGGCCTTGACAGTTTTCTTTAATCTCGTTACGAACTTAAATTACAACTTGATTCTTGATATGAGATATTCATGATATTGAGACTACATTCTCGTAACTTCAGAACTCTGCTGTACTCCAGAAATAAGACTTGAAAAACAATTAACATCTCAAACTTGAGCATCAGTTCTAAGGTTAATAGTTATTTAACAAAGGAAAAATGTTGGTTTCAGTCACGTCTCATGATCAGTGAAGGAAATATATTTGGTTGTCATGGAAATGGTTCACTTGTCACATGACACAAGCGTGTAGAAAAAAAAAATTCAACTGTGTTGTTGTGCACTTTCTAATTAGAGCCTCGTTCAGAGCCTTAATTTTATGCTCGAGACTCGAATCCATTGTCTTATTTTACACATACATCTGTGCGCTTCTCCAGGAAACACATGCATGTGGATTTTATTTTGAAAGAGCCGATCCGAGTGGAGAAAGGAAACATGGGATGAGAGAGAAAGATGGAAGCAGAGGAGTGAAATCATTTCAGCGATCGGTCGACAATGAAGGAGAGAGGGAGACTATTAATAACAGAGTGTAACGTGATCAGGCCTCACCCCTGCCAACAGGGACGGGCAGCGTGAGGGCAGGGGTGAGGGGCATCATGGGGGGGGGGGGGGGGGGGGGGGTTAGGCCAGTGTGTTCATCTCAGTGACGATGCAGCAGCAGGATGTGACAGGTTCAAACAGCCATCATAGAAACCAGCCGACAGACAGATGCTAACATCTGTCGACGGAGACGGAGACAACCAGGGGGGAAGACATTTCCCATCACCATAGCAACCGCTGACACCGAAGTTTTCACCGAATCAATTCAAACAATACGTCTGAATCTGTGTGTGTAGATGTGTGTGTACTGTGTGTGTAGATGTGTGTGTGACCAAGTCACCGCCCAACTGTTGCTCCTCTGAGGAAAACAGCGCCCCCCTCTGGCAGTGGCACTAATGCCCCTCACTCTAATTACAAGTCCATCTCATCGCTCCGTCACCCTCTCCTCAAACCGACTCGAGCAAGAAACAAGCATCCGCCCGGCTTGTGCCGAGGTTGTTGCTACGGCAACTGGAAGGTTGACTCAAACACACACGCACACGCACACACACGCACGAGGCGTTGAATTGAAATAAAAGTGAGTCGAGTCCATCAGTTCCTGTTGTTGCAGTTTCATTTTTCTTGCAGAGGATGAAAAGAAAGGTGTTGCTCTCTGCTCTTCCAGACGAGTCTTTATTTATCAGCTGCTTCATTCAGAGGTTGGTGTCACAGCACAGACTCTATTAGTTCTGGAAGCAGTTTTAAAATCACATCTCCGCAGGGCGATGAAAGGCCTCAGAGCCTCGCTCCTCCGCTGCCGAGGGTGAGAATGTGACGCCTGAGTCTGGGTGTTAATGAGATCTAAAGTCTCCATCACAGGAGAAGCACTCGGGGAAGTGTGGAGAGGTGCAAGGTGTGATGGGAAAAAAGATAAATTAGGAGAAAGGAAGTGAAGGACTGAGACGAGAGGGAATTTATTAAATAAAAGCGATGACGCAGGAGGGAAAAGGAGAAATGAAATAAAGGAGGAGAAAACAGGGAAATGTGCCGGTGTGACCGGTGATTAGTCTGTAATTGTTTTTAATAAGTGCAGGGTAATTACCCCTCGTGATGAACGGGCCAAGCTGCTAGAATCCCCACAACAGAGTGAAGCAAACAGGCAGATGTTGAAAATACACATTCAACTGTAAATGTATCAGACTTTCTTTATGTGATAGACGACATTTATCGATGTGCGAAAACTGCATGACGTTGACAGTTAGATTCAATATTCTTCATTAAATGCAGGTCAGGACAGATCACACACTTCATAAAGACAGAACGCAAAAAGTAAAAGGTATCCTGCAGGCAAACAGCGTGACACAAGACACACACACAGACAGACACACACACAGACAGACACTCACCTCCCACTAAGACCAGTCTGGCCCTGGTGTACACTCCCTCTCTGTCCCCACCTACGGTCCATATGCACACGCTCCTGCACTGACACATAAAAGTTCAATAAGAATCAAACAAATAAACACAAACCACAATACAAGTACTGGTGATGTAGTACTTGTGTCCATTTAACCACAGAGGGACATTATATTCTCTCACACACACACACACACACACACACACAGGTTCTTAACGTGTTAATTTTTTAGAGAAAATATACAAATGTTGATTCCCACCTTCTTCTGATGGACGTCAAACACGTGGAAGCTGATGTGCTTCAGCTCCTCGTCCTCTCTGTGGAGGTCCTGAAAGAAAAACGTCCAATTGAGAAACGTGACCACACGAACATCTGCAGCAACAGAGATCCAGTGAGGTGAACACTGCAGCAACACTGGAGTTATTCTTTCAGCCACAATCTGTTTGCAACTTGTTATAAACACGCTGACATTTAAAACTGTTCAGCCAAAGTTAACAGGGACATTTTAATATTATAAATATATATATAAAAATGACAAGACAAGGGAAAGGCATCGTGATGAAGTGTGCAGCGGCTGTGATCTCGTCAGAAACAAATACCACAGTACATTTACTGAGTGTTGCCCTCTCTGTGATGCTCATCATTTGAATAATGATTGTTGGTCTATGAAACAATTGAAGATTCATTAAGAACAGAGAGAGATTGAAATACACTTGATCGCTGAGACCGTTCTGTCCCCGTCAGGAAACGTCCACATGAAGATCGTCTGTGACAGTTGGCTGATGACTGGAGGATGAGATGTTGCTAGGTAACCGAAAAACCTGACAGAGCGACCGATCGAGCTTCTGAACAGTTGGCATGTGTAGGATGTGTATACGCGCTGTAGTGTGTGTGTGTGTGTGTGTGTGTGTGTGTGTGTCTAAGTCTGTGAGTCAAGGACGTGGAGGGAAAATATCCACGTCTGAGGACGAGTTCAGGGTTTTAACCTTTAACAGATGGACTAAGCTTGTCTCTCATCCATAGATTGAACATATAAGAAGAGAAACACGTCTCCACTTGCTCCTGTTGTACAAACGTGTAGCTGAAGTATCCTCGATACAGGATATCACATTTTTGGAGCCACGGTGACGAGGTCCGGCCGACACGCCGTCAAATCCAATCGGCCACGTTTTCCACCAACGTGAACACCGAGCAAACGTCACTGTGACCAGAACCATCTACAACTATTATAAGTCTCTGGGTGAAATGATGACGGCACTGAAACCGCGTCCACGCACGTGTTGAATCTTTCCATCAGTCACAAAGCACATCAGCCGTTTTGTGTTGTGGTTAACGAGCTGTGATCTCAACCCTCTGCAGGTTTCTGAGCAGCACTAAATGCGACGACCCTTTTAGGCCGTAATTGGAAATTGTAATTGTGCCCTGGCTAACGGGCCTTGTGGGGACGGTCTAATTAAGAAACTGCTGGTAATGGAGACCAGTTATCGTCGTGCGGATGTTTAACCCCGACCTGGCTTAATGCAGCCGTGTCTGACATCAGGGGAAATGAGGGACGCAGGGACGTTCAGTGGGAGAAATAATCAAATGTGACCTTTACTGCCTCCGTGTAAAGCTCTTCATCTTTACATGTTAAGAGGATGTGATATAAAAACTCAAAAGTAAAAGATTCTATGGATTGACTTCCAGCCTGGTGATAACAAAAAGAGAAACCCCGGAACGATCCTCGCCTTCCTGCCGAGAACACGTCACGAGTGATGGATCCATCTTGTGACACGGTACAAGGGTTAATTCAGCCGTCGCTCATCACAACGTAATTGACGAGCAGCAGCGAAGAGTCACGACCGTCTGCACGGAGACGCATGCGGAGCAGGCTGCAGTGTTCCAGGAGGAGGACAAACAAAGACGTAAAACACTCGAGTCACCCTGAGAAGATCCGGGTGTTGACTCACCAACATCTGTCAACGAAACGAAAATGAACACAACACTGACACACGGTGAACTGAAGGACGGGTTGTGGTGATAATCACATCTGGCACGTTGTTCATATCACATCCTAGTTCCGTCCTTATACTCACACCTTTTATTTTCATTCATAATCATGTGGTTCAATGTGTAAGATGTCAGGAAATGAATGTTATTCCAGCCGGTGTTGATTATTACGGTTTGTACATGTCGAAAGTGTTTTCAAGTCCCAGACACATCAGCTCATCACTGACGTGTGTTCAGTTCTGCTCAATCAGCGAAGTCTGGCTCCAAAGTTATCAGATGACATCATGTAAGAGCTTCACTTACAGTACGATGTCATTATTTACATTTTTACTCTAATGTGTATAAAACATTTAACACATAAACTACAGTTTCATTGAGCATTAGAAAGAGAATCCTTCAGGACACTGACTCTAAGTCAGACTCAGGTTTATTAGTTTGAAAGAACATAAAAGACTTAGTCCTCGGTCTGATTCCCTCTGAACACGTTTTCATATCGAACCTGAATGAAATGAATCTATGAACCGGTAACACATTAATGAATCGTGTTTGTAACCGATGGAGCGATTGTTCCAACACAACCTGTAAACTTCAGGTTGAACAGTGTCGTCACGTGAGATTATGTATTTGCCTGTGGAGCATTTACGTGTTCATTTAAAACCCGTTACCACTTATTTTCTCATTCTAAACAGCAAATTTCAAAGTGCATAATAATTACTATTGTTTT